CAAGAAATAGGACTTTATTTGGAACGGCTCACATTTTCCGCTTTTGTAGAAACATCGACAGCCCCTAGATCTGCTCCTTAGGTAGCTCGTTGCAACCTGGAGTAGATTTTATATTCAGATGACTTACATCTTTAGTCGTAATGTCAAAGTAATAAAAATAATAATGAAGAAATAATTACAATAAAATTGTCTTTATTGGTAGCACGGCTCAGGCCATTAGGCCTGCTCATTTGCCTAACCACAATAATATTAAAAAATAAATATTTACATTATTTCAGATACTATGAAGAAGATAGAGGGGAGCAGGAACTTTAGTTTTACTTCTGGGAGAGCAAATTAGGGTCCATCCCGGCATACGCCTTAAGCGATTGTGTAAACCCAGAAAACCTCGATATGGATGGTGCCTGAAGATACTCTAAAAAATACCTACATGCATTAGAAGAAACATAGAAAATGGTAATACAGAAAAGGCAAAATGAAATAACAAAACTTATAAGAATATATATTGCGTAATGTAAGTAATGACATAATAGCTGCAACAATATGGTAATATAATCAAATGGATAATAAAGAACAAAGATAACAATATATTTTCAATATCCATATCGGTCTCACCAATCAAATAAACGTATAAGTTTAATGATTTCCCACAAATCGATATACGTCTTTGTTTGGATGTCAAATAAGTACTTATTTCGTATTTACAAGATCAATATTGTTATTTTTGAATATTATTTTAAACCTTTGTCATTTAATTTATCTCATTATTCAAGAAAAGCGGTCTTGAGCTCACTCTACTATGAAACGAACAAAATATATAAGTGGCAAAAAAGATTAATTAATTACTAATCGAGTAATCAATTCGAGGATTTTGATAGTGTCGGCAGAATACTTAGAGGCCGGAAATCGTTGGGAGAGAAAGGGCATTGGGACTTCGGAAGAGGATGAACTTCGGCTAATTTCCATGCCTGTGGGAAACAAGACATAGTTAGTGAATAATTAATAATGTGAATAATAACGGGAAGAGCTACATGCTTCCACTGTTTTGCATTCATTCCGTCCTGTTTTGCAATAAGCTTCCATTGTTTATCATTAATTCCGTCAGATCCGTTTGCATTTGATTTTAAACTCCTCAAAACTTACGAAAGTACATTTGGTCTCTGAGGTCATCTGTACTGATGTTCGAATATTCTGATAATGGTTTTGCCTACAGCACTGGGCCAAATGGAGCTGCATTTAAGAAATGTTTGTTCAATTTGTCCAAGGGCATATCTATGATTTATTGACCTGTCCTTGTCCACGCCAATGTTTCTAAGACTGTTCCAGATTTGTTTAGAATTAGTTTGTGCTGTAAACAATGCATTGTAGAATCACAACTTTCATTTCGTATTTTTTGGTTAACTATATTACGCAGTTGTGTGTATTCAAGTTTGAGAATGGCCATTTTTGTCGTCGGTATCGTTTCTGAACTGAGTCACAATGCTTCATGCAAGCCCGTGCTGCTGGCTGCATAACTGTATAGTTTAAGCAGAGCATGTTTAACGAATAAATTCCTTACGATATTATTTAACTCATAAACTTTGTCATGAATAGCCATGGCTATGGCGCACGGATGCACTCCAAAAGAAAATTAACTGCATTAAAAGATTTGTAGTCACTGTACGAAATAATTTTTGGCTTGTATTTAGGACAGTTCATTGAATACGACAAGTACGACAAATCATGCCTGGATATTCCAGGAACCGGGATATTGCCTTATCAGGCTTCTCAACAATGACATTATCAATCCAGCTTTCACTATTGGAGGAATAACGAGTTGGATTTGAGAATATGCAAATTCAAGGATTTAATAGTTTTCATTAAGTTACGTACAGTGTGGATGTCTGTATTTACTAAATTACAATTTAAGCCTTCCATGATGACGTTATCGGTTATCGTAATGACTTTTAGCAGCGGAAAGGGGCTCTTCCAGAACTTTCCGTTCCGGTTTTTCGGTGGCCAATACACTACAATAGCCATTCAACGTTTCACACCTATCATAATTTCTACAAATAAAAATTCCATACCACTCGACTCTGTGGCGGATGAATGTACAGTTTTGCATTTTTAACCATTCCATATAAACATTCATGAAATGATTAGTGAATGGTGGTGTAGCCATATATATATATATATATATATATATATATATATATATATATATATNNNATATATATATATATATATATATATATACACCACCATTCACTAATCATTTCATGAATGTTTATTTCCGAAAATATTGCAAGAAGTTCATTATGATGCACTATCACTGTGCATTTATGTCAATGTATTTACACGTGGAGGAAAAGATGCGGAAGTCCCTTTCAACAGCTCAAGGGTTGTGGGATTTCCGTTACTGGGTAGTACAGAGCTTAACGGGGTCATGACAGGTGAGAGGACACTTGCCGCCAAGGATTCCGCAAAGGATTTAACATTCTGAAATGGCGTGAAATATTCTCTTTTTCTAGCAAGTTAAGAAAATTAAAACTTACTCAGTACGTTTCCTACTGTATTTAAAACATTTTTCATATTTTATTAGAGGTCTTAACTTTAACAACTTATTATAAAAAATCAAACAAGGTTCTTTATCATATTAATTTCATTTGTGGTAGGTGGACTATTACAACATTTAAAAAAAATCTGCATCACCGTTTATTCTAATTTTCGTACACACACCGTACTACGTTCTGCTGTAGTCAGCTCCACAACGAATGAATCCCTTCTCTAGAACCTGCGCTTATACGTAGAACAACTGCTTCACCCAGCCATACAAATATACGTCTTTACATCTCAACGGTCTTGACAGGACTCGCACATGTTGTAATCCAGAATCCATGTTTCGTGGGTCCTTGATTCGGAAAAATAGATTGATCGCGAAACGTCCGTCTCTCTGTCCGTCCGTCCGTCTGTCCGTCTGTCCTTCTGTCTGTCCTTCTGTCTGTCCTTCTGTCTGTCCTTCTGTCTGTCCTTCTGTCTGTC